ACAATAATCCACAACGAGAGAGGGAGAACGATCTACATGCGTGCATGCAGCGCGTATACGCGCTCACACAAGCCGGGGGTGGGGGTGACCACAATCGAGACGTGAGCCTGGTGCGACGCACACAGCCGCCCTATCCTGGCAGGGTTGGATGAGAGGTGGTCAGGTGTTTGCGGAATCATCCCTTGGTTTGATAGTTTCATCCCATATATTAGACTCAACGGGAGAGGGCATGTTGCATCCCCAGTATTGAGGAAGTAAGCTGAGGCTCCATTTCACAGAAAAACTGTCCGGTTCTTGGGGGGATTTTCTTTAAAAAAAAAAAAAAGATCCATGATGCTGTCACTAAAGTGACCTAAATTTACGTTTATTTTTACGTTTCTGTCAGTCTGAGGTGTTGTTGCTATAACGCGTTGCTATGGATTGCGTCACTTCCGTCAAGTTTCGTGTCTTGCGAGACGGATTTTTATGCTTAATTTTATATAGGCTATTTATCTAAAATGAATTTACAATTTTATTAATACGTTCATATGTTTAAAAAGAAGAATGTAAATTCAAATATATTTATATATGAAATGTCAGTTGTTGTTGTTTTTTTTTTTTTTTTTTTTAGCCTACGTAATTTTTTGGCGGCACCCCTGACACAGTCAGGGGGCACCCCAGTGTGCCGCGGCACCCACTTTGAGAAAGGCTGATATAGATGAACAGTTCCTCGGATCTGTGATGTATGATCTCCTCACTCTTTGTGCTCTGTGTTTTCATCTACCATGTGTGTCAGGAGTTTGATGCGGCGAGTGTGTTCATGCACCAGGCGATACACACCATCGAATACTGTCTGGGCTGCATCTCCAACACCGCCTCCTACCTGCGGCTCTGGGCGCTCAGCCTCGCTCACGCCCGTAAGTGTGTGTGTGTGTGTGTGTGTGTTTCAGAGCTGCTATTGCCTGTGAGGAGCATCTCCTCGTGTGTTCGTGTGTTTCCCTGAAAACATTGCCTCTGAGGAGCTTGTCCATGTGTGTGTGTGTGTTTCAGAGCTGTCGGAGGTGTTGTGGCTGATGGTGATGCGGATCTCCTTCCAGCAGCTCAGTTATATGGGCTCCATCATCATGGTGTTTATATTCGCTGCGTTCGCTGTGCTGACCGTCTCTATCCTGCTCATCATGGAGGGACTGTCCGCTTTCCTGCACGCTCTCCGACTGCACTGGTGAGAGACACACACTCACTCACTCACTCACTGTGTGTGAGTCTGAGTGAGAGAGTGAGAGAGTGCGTGACTGATTGTGTGAGTGAGTGAGTTGACTGTGTGAGTGAGTCAGAAGTGAGTGAGTGAGTGAGTGAGTGAGTCAGTCAGTGAGTGAGTGAGTGAGTCAGTCAGTGAGTGAGTGAGTGAGTGAGTGAGTGAGTCAGTGAGTCAGTGAGTGAGTCAGTCAGTCAGTGAGTGAGTGAGTGAGTCAGTGAGTGAGTCAGTCAGTGAGTGAGTGAGTGAGTGAGTCAGTGAGTGAGTCAGTGAGTGAGTGAGTGAGTGAGTGAGTCAGTGAGTGAGTCAGTGAGTGAGTGAGTCAGTGAGTCAGTGAGTGAGTGAGTCAGTCAGTGAGTGAGTGAGTCGGTCAGTGAGTCAGTGAGTGAGTGAGTGAGTCAGTGAGTGAGTGAGTGAGTCAGTGAGTGAGTGAGTGAGTCAGTGAGTGAGTCAGTCAGTGAGTGAGTGAGTCAGTGAGTGAGTGAGTCAGTGAGTCAGTCAGTGAGTGAGTCAGTGAGTGAGTGAGTGAGTCAGTCAGTCAGTCAGTGAGTGAGTGAGTCGGTCAGTGAGTCAGTGAGTGAGTGAGTGAGTCAGTGAGTGAGTGAGTGAGTCAGTCAGTGAGTGAGTCAGTCAGTGAGTGAGTGAGTCAGTGAGTGAGTGAGTCAGTGAGTGAGTCAGTCAGTGAGTGAGTCAGTGAGTGAGTGAGTGAGTCAGTCAGTCAGTCAGTGAGTGAGTGAGTGAGTGAGTCGGTCAGTGAGTGAGTGAGTCAGTGAGTGAGTCAGTGAGTGAGTGAGTGAGTCGGTCAGTGAGTCAGTGAGTGAGTCAGTCAGTGAGTGAGTGAGTCAGTCAGTGAGTGAGTGAGTGAGTCAGTCAGCGAGTGAGTGAGTGAGTCAGTGAGTGAGTGAGTGAGTGAGTCAGTCAGTGAGTGAGTCAGTCAGTGAGTAAGTGAGTGAGTGAGTGAGTGGGTGAGTGAGTGAGTGAGTGAGTGAGTGAGTCAGTGAGTGAGTCAGTGAGTGAGTGAGTGAGTGAGTGAGTGAGTGAGTGAGTGAGTCAGTGAGTGAGTCAGTGAGTGAGTGAGTCAGTGAGTGAGTGAGTCAGTCAGTCAGTCAGTGAGTGAGTGAGTCGGTCAGTGAGTCAGTGAGTGAGTGAGTGAGTCAGTGAGTGAGTGAGTGAGTCAGTGAGTGAGTGAGTGAGTCAGTGAGTGAGTCAGTCAGTGAGTGAGTGAGTCAGTGAGTGAGTGAGTCAGTGAGTCAGTCAGTGAGTGAGTCAGTGAGTGAGTGAGTGAGTCAGTCAGTCAGTCAGTGAGTGAGTGAGTGAGTGAGTCGGTCAGTGAGTGAGTGAGTCAGTGAGTGAGTCAGTGAGTGAGTGAGTGAGTCGGTCAGTGAGTCAGTGAGTGAGTCAGTCAGTGAGTGAGTGAGTCAGTCAGTGAGTGAGTAAGTGAGTCAGTCAGCGAGTGAGTGAGTGAGTCAGTGAGTGAGTGAGTGAGTGAGTCAGTCAGTGAGTGAGTCAGTCAGTGAGTAAGTGAGTGAGTGAGTGGGTGAGTGAGTGAGTGGGTGAGTGAGTGAGTCAGTCAGTGAGTGAGTGAATGAGTGAGTCAGTCGGTCAGTGAGTGAGTGAGTGAGTCGGTCAGTGAGTGAGTCAGTCAGTGAGTGAGTGAGTGAGTCAGTCAGTGAGTGAGTGAGTGAGTCAGTCAGTCAGCGAGTGAGTCAGTCAGCGAGTGAGTCAGTCAGCGAGTGAGTCAATCAGCGAGTGAGTCAGTCAGTGAGTGAGTCAGTGAGTGAGTGAGTGAGTGAGTGAGTCAGTCAGTCAGTGAGTCACTCTCTCTCACTTGCTCACTCACTGACTCACTCACTCACGCACGTATGCACTCACTCACATTAACCCTGTAAGAAACAAAGTTGCATAAAAACATCTAAACAAGCATTGCTAGAGCTCTATCAATCACAAACGCAGCATCTTTCACTGTTTATTTACATGCGTTTACTTCGAGTCATGTGATTCATTCATTTCTCTCTCTCTCTCTCTCTCTCTCTCTCTCTCTCTCTCTCTCTCTCAGGGTGGAGTTCCAGAATAAGTTCTACAGTGGCTCTGGCTATAAGCTCAGTCCGTTTGCCTTCTCGTCGGGATTCAGCGGCTCCTCCCTCAAATGACCCATGATCCTCCTCTGCTCACGGGACTTACAACTGTGCTAGCATCACTAGCGAACCGTGCTAGTGTCACTTGGCTGGGGCCACAAAACCTTTTAAAGTGCATCATTGAAGCATCTTTCTTTTATATTTTAAACATGAATACAACTGTACAAAAAGACTCAGAGTTGAAAGTGTTATGAATCCACATCCATATCTGTGACACTTTGCAACTCCGGATCCTGACACTTGAATCTTTTAGTTGAGTGGACGTGATTTTAACTGAAGAGCACAGATGAGATAAAGTAGTTTTTACATGATCATTGAGACATTATGATGACAGCATCTAGTGCAGACAGTTATGACATAATTTAGCAGTTATACATGTTGATTTCTGCTTGTTAATCAGTAGGTTAAGCGTCTTGATTTGCTTCGTTACTCAAAGGGAATAATCTTGCGTCCAGCTGCTCTTTTATTGTTGCTTTTCTGTTATTACAATGAAACTTGTTTTAATTTTGGAGCTGAATCACTAAGTGCTTACAGTGACATTTGCTGATCAATAAAGACCAAAGTCTCTCAAAACACTGTGTGTGTGACTGACTGGCTGTCTGCAGAAGATCTAAGAACTGGTGCCAGTCAGTAATCTTTTTTATTTATTTATTTTTATGAATGTATATGATGAATGAAATTATCTTTTGTAGTAGTCTAATTAACTAATCGGAACACAGTGACGTTATATTAATCCCCAAAAAGTATCTCTCTCTCTCTCTGAGATGTTCTCATTAAAATAGTGAAACTTGCAAGGTATGTGTGTGTGTGTTTCAGAGTGATCTAAATTGTCAAGTGAATCTGTCAAATTATCTGAATCGCTACATCCATCAGAGTTTATAGCAGAACTCATACACATGATCAGGGAAATGAAACAGGGTTGGTATCTTTCAGGGATGGTCCATCAACAATAATAATAAATAAATATCCTGGATTTGCATAATCAAAATATACAATTACTCTGAAAAGAAAAGCATAATATTAAGGTTAAATCATTTCCTTAAATGTGTCATCATAATGCATCAAGAATTTTGCACTTTTTTAAGATTTATAAGTCTAATGGAAGAAATAGATGTTAAATTCAGCAAGAGGAAAGTGCAAAGGAGACTCAAGCCAGTTTTGAATGAATTTTGCATACAAGATAACGAGATGAACATATTCAAGGCACAGCAGTGTCTTCATGAGGAGAGATAACAGGTGTAAGTGTGGTCACATCAGCCGGGCTAAACACACAAGTGCCCAAATCACCCCAAATACTACAATTACAAACTAAAAGGACCCATGTTTCTTCAACAAAAACACAAAAGAAAATGTGTTTAGAATATAAACATAATGTTTAGAATATTTAGAAATGGATGAGTCGGTCGATTTCATCAAGGATTTTATAATGAATTTCCTTAATTTTGTTGGATACGCTAAATGTACGTGGCAAAAGCCAATTAAGCCATGCCTTTCTCTAATTTACATGTACAAAACAACCCAAAGAAATACCCCTAGAGTCATCTTTCTCTTCACAGACACACACTCTTTCGGTCCTCTAGGGGGCGGTGCACTCTTCTGATGTCACTTCCCGCTCGAGAGTGACCCGAAGAAGAGGAAGTAAACAAACCGCGGGCGGGAAACACACAAATTAGCTCTATCTTTTATACGAGTGGAATAAATGTACTTTTATTGTCCGGACTGTAGAAACTAGTCAACATGGTTCAAGAGTTTCATGTTCTGAGATGTTTCTCCTGTCAAACCTTCCAAGTTCAGCAGGTAAAGTTAGCGTTTATTCCCCTGTCCACTTTACCTCAGGATTAACGTTATATCAGTTCTTCAGTTCCAGATCCGTGTGATTAAAGCTTCACTAAACAGACTGACAAGAAGCGCTCTTACTTTTGATATTAATAAAGTCTGAGCTCTAAAATTGTGTCCGTTTTATATTGACGACGTTCATTCGTTGACTTGAATAATAACTCTAGAGGGACGTTTTGCTAAATCATATGCGCTGTAGCAGCTATATTACTTTGACATGATTATTGTATATATATGTACATTTAGCGTATCCAACAAAATTAAGGAAATTCATTATAAAATCCTTCATGAAATCGACCAACTCATCCATTTGTAAATATTCTAAACATTATGTTTATATTCTAAACACATTTTCTTTTGTGTTTTTGTTGAAGAAACATGGGTCCTTTTAGTTTGTAATTTAAATATATTTAAATATATCTGTCATAAGTTTAATTATGACAGGCACTTCAATTTAAAATTAATTTAAAATATTATATATATATATATATATATATATATGTAAAAAATAAATTTATAAGTTTTATCTTAAAAGTTCACCCAAATATGTAAATTATGTCAGTATGTAGTCTTCCTCATGTCGTTCCAAACCCGTAAGACCTTCGTTCTATGAGGCGCCGGACTGGACAAAAGCGAAGCGAACTGCGCGAGAGAGGCCGAGCGTTTCAGTGCGCGCGAGAGAGGCCGAGCGTTTCAGTGCGCGAGAGAGAGGCCGAGCGTTTCAGCGCGCGAGAGAGACCGAGTGTGTGCGGGCATTAGTACGTAGCCTAATTAATTGTACATTATATAATTACTATATAAGAGGCATGGAAGTTCGATTTATGGACAACAATAATCAGTACAAACGTCTTTTTTAACTAGTGTTTAATTAACATAAATAATTCGAGCAGATAAACTTTCATAAGGAGGATTAAATAAGATTGAATTTATGTAGCCAGTAAGATTTCATAACTAATCACTGAACCATAATCAGATTTTTCGTTTCTTGGGCGTCAAATAAAATAACAATGACTCTGAATTGTGTTCACCAAATGTTGTCTGTGCAAGTGTTTCCATGAGAGCATCAAATAGGATAATGGCATCTGTGAGAAAGATGGTTAAATCTGCAAGAGACAACCGTGTCAATTTACTGTTTAAAATAAAGTGATTTCAGCCGAAATTACCTGTGTTGTTCTATTTGTATTGGCCCCTGAATGTTGTTCCATGGCTCACGAAGGTACCTGCTGATACTCTAACTCATAATTTTTAACATTATTGAGCTTAAAAATTCAATATGTTTAAGAGACTCATGTTAATTTATAATAATAGCCTATCATTAGATGTCATACATGGCTTATTGGATGGTAATAGAAAACGTGGCTTTTTTTAGCTGACTTTACCATACTTTGATGATGTAATTCTGTATTTATTTTTTTTAACAGTAATTTGACACGGTTGTCTTTAGTGTGATATAGCAACAACACAACAATTTCATAAAATAGAAATTTTAACGAATATTTAATTAAAAATCCAATTAAAATTAACTGGTGAAGTGTTTCTGTGCATCGGTGTCTTTTGTGTCCATGTATTTGTGTATTCGTGCTTGTCAAATAATGTTAAACGTTTTGTTAAAGATTATAACATCTTTGACAAAAAACAACGAAAAAAAAAACCCCAACACTTTAACATTTCCTGTAGCTATAGGCCTACAGGTCAGGGCAGTTAGATATTTTGCTGCATTCTCTTTAAAGGCAGTCTTTGCAGATTTAACCATCTTTCTCACAGATGCCATTATCCTATCCATTTGGTGCTCTCTTGGAAACACTTGCACAGACAACATCCCGATTTTGGTGAATACAATTCAGTCATTGTTATTTTATTTGACGCCCAAGAAACGAAAAATCTGGTTATGGTTCAGTGATTAGTTATGAAATCTTACTGGCTACATAAATTCAATCTTATTTAATCCTCCTTATGAAAGTTTATCTGCTCGAATTATTTATGTTAATTAAACACTAGTTAAAAAAGACGTTTGTACTGATTATTGTTGTCCATAAATCGAACTTCCATGCATCTTTTATAGTAATTATATAATGTACAATTAGGCTATGCCCGCACACACGCTGTCTCTCTCGCGCGCTGAAACGCTCGGCCTCTCTCGCGCGCACTGCTCGGTCTCTCTCGCGCGCAAAACACTTTCTCGCGCGCACTGAAACGCTCGTTCTCTCTCGCGCAGTTCGCTTCGCTTTTGTCCAGTCCGGCGCCTCATATCGTTCATCTTCAGGACACAAACGAGGATGTTTTTGATGAAAGCTGAGACACTCTCCGCAACTACCACTGTCATACCGTAATCATGCGACTCCTGTGCTTTAATCTCAGCTTTATCACCAAGTGCTTTGTTTGCGCAAAAAAGACACAATTTACCACTGTATATTTACAAAATATTAATCTCCACATGCATGAATCAGAGCATCACGACATGCAGATCATAATTTTCATTTCAGGTGAACTAACCCTTCTTTATAGAAATGTACATGCTGTACCGGACGTCCAAATTAATCTATTAAATCTATCTATTGAAATGGGTTTGTGATGTTGTTGTCTCTGCGAATGATTCTGGATCTCAGTGATGAGTTTAGACTTCTCCTGCAGGTGAAGAAGAGCAAGAGATGGGTGTGTAAAGTGTGTGGAGAGAAGCAGTCGCTGAAGAAGGTAAAGAACAAGAACACAGCGTGACCTGGCGCTGCGAGTCCCTGTGTGTGTCAGCGTGCGCTGTGTGTGTTGCAGGAGTTTGGTTGGGGGGTGGCAGTGGACTGTAGAGTGTGTGTGTGTGTGTGTGTGTGTTGCAGGAGTTTGGTCGGGGGGCGGCAGTGGACTGTAGACGGCACGTTCAGAAGCTCAATGCTCTGCGAGGACGACTGGAGGACACACACACACTCGGGTCACAGTGGTGAGAAACACAACATATTTCGGGGAAATAGCGAGGAGATATTTATAGTGTGTACAGTGATGAATATGGCGACGCTGACTCGTGAATCCAATTATAATTAAAGAAAGTTTTGATATATATATATATATATATATTTTCTAAGGGTAAACGCTATATTTCCTGTCATAAAAGGTCAATTCTCTGATATTTTAAGAGTTTCTGAAGTGTGTTCCTGCCTGTCTGTCTGCTCCACACTGATCAGAAGATAATTAACATGTAAACGTGGTTCTGTTAATCAGTTAAAAGTTTGTCGAATTAATGATTTTTTTATTTGAATGATTTGATGACATCAGGACAGTTTAACATTCGCTTCTTCACCCCAAAAATATAAAACAATCATTTTAATACAGAAACTCAAAAAAATCTCATCATGACTGTAAAATATATTTGTTAATGAATATGAGAAAGAGCGTGCGATTCATGTCACGTGACTGACCCTTCGACTAACTCACTGTTTTAAAGGGAACAGGAGGATGAGGAGGATGAGGATGAAGGTCCGGATCAGGAGAACGCATCTCAGGTAAAGCTCTGATGGAGGTCATCATGAGGAGAGAAACTACGGCTGAGAAACGGTGTGTGTGTGTGATGTTCCTGTGGCTGTGACAGGAAGTGTGTCATCATGTGAGCCGCTGGAGTAAATACACACCCGAGGCTGCAGAGGAAGAGGAGGAGGAGGAAGAGGAGGAGCAGGTGTACACACACACACAGAGGTTCAGGAGCCAGGGAACCAGGTCCGTTTCAGGTCATCATGTGATGCCATCAACTCTTTCCCCGCCACTGACCTGAGCTCAGTCTTTACAGCTGTTATACTGCAGGGGGCGCTGTCACCACATCACAACACCGCAGATCTTTCATCATCACTCTGAATCAGACTTTGACACAAGAGCGATTCCTCAGTTTTCTGCTCAGAATGCTCATGACAAGCAGAGGCTCTGCTCTTTCTTTAATATTCAGATATATTTATACAAGCAAATATTCTGGATGTCGTGAAAGTTTTGTGAATATGACCAGAACCGCTGGCGTGGAAAGAGTTGAAATTAGTAATAAAAACAGGATTTTAGCACAAAAGCATCATGGGACATGTTTAACTTGTCTTGTGTTGTCAGAATGGCAGTGTTTAACGCTGATTCGTTTTTGTGAACAGAAAGAGGAAGAAGAGTTCTGGCCCGTACGGTGTGTGTGAGGAAGAGCAGTCCTGGACCCGCGGCTCGGGGTTTAAGAGGCCGGATCTGGTAACACACACACACAGAAAAGCATACATGTTTTTCAATCAGGTTAAACTCTGATTAGTCACTCAAACCTTTTTCTGAACCTCACCGTCGGTCGCACACATCAGCCATGTTTGTAGTTTAACACTTTTTACTTGTGTTTGTAGTTCCTCCTCCAAAGCACAATGGGTTGTGGGTAATATCAGCAGTTACAGTGAGCACGGATACGTGTGTCTGCATGGGTTCACAGCTTGTGTATGTGGAAAAAGTACCAAAAAGAAGAATAAGTAGTGGGGTCTACTATTATTATATAACAGTTTTATATATATATATTAGGGCTGGGTAATAAATATAGAATTCTCGATATTAATCGATTCTCATTTTTACGAACCGATATCGATTCTTAAATCTCAAGAATCGATTAGTCATCCTGTTTCATTTGAATTTGAATCATTGTATCGCGTCTGCGCGCATCCAAAAAATCGCAATAATCTTTGTCCTTTGTTACTATTGAAAAGAAACAAAGTCTCAATTTTCAAATTACGTCCATTTTCTTTAGAAACTCAAAAACATAAATAGTGTTTTGTCGCTGTGGCGTGAGATCGCTCTGGAGAAGCAGCAGCGCTGATCTCTCTTCCGGCTTAATAATACCAGTCACAGCGCCAAATAAACATGAATGAGCATCTGAAAGTGTGTTAAAGATAGAGGACAACTTATCCAAATCCGGATCATGTCACACTGATTCGCTCAATCAGCGTTTCAACCGTGGAAAGACGTCAGTTAAACTAATCAATGTCATCGTCATATTTACCTCAGAAAACCCACATAAACTCGTTAGTCAGCTAGAAAAAATAACTCTAGAGAGGAGCATTTTGCTAAATATATACACCATATTACATATGCATTATAATCTTAATGTTCTTCAATATTTAATGCATATTTGAATAAATCTGGCAAGTTTTTATGACAGCCACCATTTAAATGTTTATATTTCATATAATCATCATATTATAAAAATAAATAAAAGTGTAATTTAAGTGTTTGTATAGCTACAAAACAGTTCATTATTACCTTCATATTAGGCTAATGAAGTCTATAAGATTACAACTAGACTCCCGTAGTTTACAGCATTAGTTCAGAGATTTGATTTCCTTGAGAAAAATGGCCATTTATTGCAGCCGATATCCAAAATAATCAATATTGAATTGAATCGAAATCGAATCGAATTGCGAAATTTGTCTCAATACCGCGCCCTAATATATATAAATATATGTACAGGGTATAGAGAGAGTTGATGTTTTTGGTAATTGTGGGTATTGTTTAAACCCTTTGTTTCAATTAAAGAGTTGATGGGAAGTATTATATGTAACGTGTGTTTGACCCTGGGTTAGTTTAGTCAGGTCTACTCCTCAACGGTTCCAGTTAAAACATGGTCTCTAATATTGATTAAAACCGTCTGAGGACTTTCCACACACTTACTCTAGCCTCACACACTGGTTGGGATGATAGTGACATTGAGTGTGACATCTCTATTGCAGCGCGACAGGAGGATCAGTGCGGGGTCAGATGATCTCCCAGCATCCCGTCCGGCTGTTCACAGCTCCACACACACTGCTCCGGTGGCTGCGCCTCAGAGGACCGAGACGGACTCCAGGTGGGACAGGTTCCTCCGAGCGGCTCCCACTCACCCGGACGAGGAAGAGGAGGATGAAGCTGATCCTGACACACTGATGGCTTTTCCCACAGGATCTCCTGCCGATGACCAGACGAGTGTGTGGGGCATTCCTGCGGACCGACCTCTCTCCAGTAAAACCAGCAGTCACACACACAAGCCTGCAGGCTCTGCACACACACACACACTCTGTGAACGGGCCAACACCCCAAAGCTTTCGTACAACCCCCTGTTCCTCACTGATGAAGACTTCGACGACACGTTTTGAAGGATAAGATGCATTCTGTCTGAAACATTTACTTTTAAGGGTGTTTAACGAACGAAGTTATGAGATGTTTCAATGTTCTCTTCAATAAATATAGCGATGCATTGGATCCTTGTATTCATAGCAAAAAGTGCGTTTAGGAGGATGATTTAAAGGGGACACATCATGAAAATCTGAGAAGTGCTATAATCGTATGGAGTTAATATTGTGCCATATTTAAACAAACGAATCCAGCGTTTTGCAAATGTGCAAGTACAAAGCTCAATTTGAGTGAAAATGCAGAGGAGTAACACACATGCGTTGTATCCTGCAAATATAAATAAATGAGCCAAGATAATATTTCACAAATAAATACAAACCATCCTACAAATTGCATGTAACCTTTCAACAAATACCAAATCTAGTGCATTCAAATGCATATCTGTCTGTTATGATTGTGAGACACTCGGCTTTTTAGAAGATCTCTGGGCTCGATTTTCTCACTAATTAGCTCCTCCCCCTTTTCTAATAGCCAATAGCGTTTAGTTTCCTCACAGACTGACAGCAGCACGGGAGCGAACCCGAGCATGATTCATTCATAACCAGCGTACAGTTGAGAACAGAATAAAACTTACAAAAACACAGGGGGCGGAGCTTCAGATTCTAGAAAGCCTGTGATTGGAGAAGCTGAAGTCTGCAGTGATGTCATAATCCCTGATCCATTTTAGTGGAAGTCAGAGACTAAGATTCGAATGCTTATATCTCCTAAATCTGAATTTTGTTATTGTTTTGGAACACCTTCAGGCTAACATATTCATACTAAAAGCTATACTTTTTTATTTCAGGACGCCTTTAAGTTTTGCACATTGAAAAAAAAAAATCCAAATACAACAAATGTTTTGGAGAAGTTTTTTTTATTGCGAAGAGAAATGACAGCACATTCACCGATTCCATCCGTTAAGTCAAACTATTAATCATAACAATTAAAATACAACCCAGGTTTCGGCTTTAACTAAGAACTCAGCTTATTGGTTATGGAAATGCACATAAAACATCCATAAACTGCAATTACACAAATATAGAGCTTTACTTAACAACAACCTTTAAGTAATATATGCATAAATGATGATGATAAAGATCATTAATAGCATGAAGTGTTCTAATGACAGAAACGTTGAATATAAATGTATATATTTTGCATAAAAAGGCCAATAATGAACTTAAGTATGTGCTGGTCACCTGAGTAATCGTTATCCTGGTAACACTTTACAATACGGTTCCATTAGTTAACAGGAACTAAGAATGAACAATACATGTATTAATCTTACTTACTGTCCATTTCGGCACTTATTATTACTGAACTAGTATTTCTTGATGCGAATATTAAAATCAAATGTTGTATTTGATAACATTAATGCACTTTTTCTCATGTTCGTTAATGCATAAACTAATGTTAACAACTGAAACCTTACTGTAAAGTGTTACCTTAACATTTACGGCAAACGTTTGCGTATGTTACGACTGAGTGCGGGGGTGTGTGTCCTGCTCCTCTACTTGCGAGAGGTCTTGCAGTACTGGATGGTGTCGAGAGCGGCGCCGATGTCGAAGCCCTTGGCGTGCAGGAGTCGGGTCAGCCACCCGCCCTCGTCAGAGAAGCCCATCGACAACATCTGAGAGAGCGACTCCACCAGCCGGGGGTCCGCATCTGGGGGACACACACTCGTCAGCTCACAGACTTATACAACCTGCGCTTAACTCCATTAATGACAAAGGTATATTTGATCTAAATGCAGTGTTGTGCACTCGGGACTCGGTCTCGGTCTTGTCATGGACTCGTGTGCATTTTGACTCGTACTCGAACATATTGGGAGTCGGGACTCGGACTTATTCCCGAGTCCCATTCAAAATATGTCATGATTATTACTGTGTGTTAATATTTCTGGTAACACTTTACAATAAGGTTCATTAGTTAACTATAGTAGTTAACATTAACTAAGAATGAACAATACTTCTACAGCATTTGTTAATCTGTGTTAATGTTAAATGTTCATTAAAATCTTGTTAACATTAGTTAATGCACTGTGAACAAACAATGAACAGCTGGATTTGTATTAACGAACGGTAACAAAGATGAACAAAAACAGTAACAAATGTATCGCTCATGGTTAGTTCATGTTAGTTAATACATTAACTAATGTTTAATAAATTAACCTTATTGTAAAGTGTTGCCATATTTCTTTAAATTGTTGTTTGATTGAAACGTCCAATGATTGCTGACTTTCTTGTGCGCAACTGCGCATGACTCGAGACTATAATGTTCGCGGCAAAAAGGCCACATAGTGGTTTAAAGGTAATTTTATTATATGACTTACAATTGTTACAATCAGTCAGTGCTCTTTCACAGAACATTACTGCACATGAATTCTGTGTGGCTCTAATATGTAAACTGAATTATGGATGATAAGGCAGACATTTTCAATACATAGTTGAGCTAGAGGCTCCACATCACCTCTGACCTGCGATCCGTGTCTCCAAGCTCTCCGTCTGTAATGTGCGTACATGGCTGGTGTGTGTGTATGAGTCAGATCTCGTGTGTGTGTGTGTGGCGTACGGCTCATACGGTTTCCACAGTGAGAGTTAGCATGGGCTATTTCAGTAGTATCATTGCGTCACAGAGTCAGCGGGCAAAGAGTGGTTCCCCATCACTGTCATCGAACGCATATTCTTGGTTATAAACACTGATATGAATTATTGTCTCTATGATTGGTTGTTTCAGCGGAGACGGCTCTGATTGGCCTGATTGATCCGATGTGTGTGTGTGAGACGGGTTGTAGTGTTACCTTGTGGCAGGTGTGGGTACAGCGCCGCCTCGCGCAGGCCCGTGGGTCCCGCTGTGGGTTTGGAGCTGGTGTTCAGCAGCGGCGCCGCCTGACCCGGCCCGTCCTGCTCCACCCTGAGGGACTGCAGCTCTCCTGTGGACGGGTCCACCTCTTTAGAGCTCAGGTGAGTCCACTCCTCGTCACTGCCCGGCTCCTTCTGGCCCTTCAGGGGGATAATAAACACTGTTCAAATGTATTGCTCATTGTTGGTTCATGTTATGTTAGGCTCTGCGTGTGTGTGTGTTACCTTGGCCCCCTCGCTGAGGCTCTCCTCAGTGCTCTGGCTGCCGGGCCCCGAGCCCCGCGACTGGAGCCCCACACACCCACTGTCGCTGCGAGCGCTGGACGGGCCGCTGGAGGCCGGCGGGGTCGAGGTGTTCACCGTGGCCCGCTTGCCCTCGTGCTCGACGTCGATGTCCACATCTATCCCTGCAGAGGAGAGCATCATTACCCAGCATGCCCGTTAAGCTAACGACGGTAAAGGTAAGTCACGCGTGCAGGGACTCACCGAGAGGACTCAGCAGCGCCGCCACTTCCTCCCCGATGTTCTTCAGGTACTGCATGTTGGCCTGGGAAGAGGACGCCGCGCCTGAGAACGACACTGCCACTGTTGGTCTACCGCGATATTACAGCTCATAACTCAGAAATACACTGCAGTTCAAAAGATTCGGATCGGTACGTTTTTTAAATGTTTTTAAAAGAGTGTCTTCCGCTCACCAAGGCTGCATTTACTTGATTAAAATGAAAAAATTAAGTAAAATAAAATTAATAAATATTATAACAATTTAAAATAACCGTTTTCTATTTTAAAACATTTTAAAATATTTCTGTGATCAAAGCTGAATTTATCATCATTACTCCAGTCTTCAGTGTCACATGATCCTCCAGAAATCACTGTAATATGAGGATCTGATGATCAACACACATTTATGATTATTATCAGTGTGGAAAACAGTTGTGTTCTTTCAGCATTTTTCTGAAATAAAGCTTTTGTCACATTAAACACTACCATTAACAATTTTGGAATCAGTAAAAACATTTTTGGGGGCGGGGACAATACTTTTATTCATCAGGGATTAATTAAATTGATCAAAAGTGACCGTACATTTATAATGTTACACAAGATTCTAGGCTAGGGTTCTAGCATCCTAAGTGTTTCCTGATCATCAGATCCTCATATTAGAGTGATTTCTGAAGGATCATGTGACACTGAAGACTGGAGTAGTGATGATGCTGTGATCACAGGAAGTGACATCACTGGGATCTGCCCTGTTTCGTGTCAGCGCATCCGCTGCCTGTGGACAGACACAGAGAAGGCATCTCACCGTCAGTGTTTGCCGGAGCGTCCTGGTTCTGCGGGTCTCCCGACGGGTTCTGCTGGGCCTGGGCTTGAGCATTAGCATTAGCATTAGCATGAGCCTGGCTATTCGCCCACATGCAGTGTCTCATCTTACGCCATAACTTCCCACGAGGAAACCACTGCACACAAAAGCTCTCGTTCAGTCACAGTCACATTATTATTATCAAAAACAAAACGTGTGCTAATAGAGCCGCAACTAAAGATTATTTTGATACTCGATTAGTTGGTCGATTATGTCTTGCTTAATATTACTCTTTGATTAATTGGATTAAAAAAGTAAAAAATGTTCTTTTAAATTTTCACACTATTCCACGTCCTGGCCAAAGCTGTCCCTCAAACAACATTTACATTCAGTGAAGTCTGAAGTTTAGCGCAGACGATCAGACTAAATATGTGGATTTGTAACACTTACAGGTAACGATATAACCGAAAAATGTAAGTTCGCTCACACTGTACACTCTTACAGTGGTGTGAATAAGTTTTGGCACCCATGCTAAAGTTGCCTAAAAACAGGAATAAAAAAATCATCTTTTGGATATTGATCTTAATGCCTTAATTAGAAAAATGAGGTAAACTCATTTTCTTTGTGAATGAATAATGTATCATAAATAAATAATGTTTTTCCTTAAAATACAGGGTGCATAAGTCAGGGTTAAATTCCCATAAAGTCGGGCAGATTTTTATTTTTAAAAGCCAGTTATTTCATGGATCCAGGATAATATGCATCCTGATAAAGTTCCCTTAAAATATCCCCACATCATCACACACCTTCACCACACCTAGAGATCGGCATGGTTTTACTTCAGTTAGCCTAATAGCTGGTTTGATTTGCATTGAAAGATGATCTTATGGAAAGTACCCCATGCCAATCTCTAGGTGTGGTGAAGGTGTGTGATGATGTGGGGATATTTTAAGGGAACTTTATCAGGATGCATATTATCCTGGATCCATGAAATACCTGGATTTTAAAAATAAAAATCTGCCCGACTCTATGGGAATTTAACCCCGACTTATGCACCCTGTATTTTAAGGAAAAACATTTATTTATTTATGATACATTATTCATTCACAAAGAAAATTGGTGTCCTTAAAGGTTGGAGTTTTCCTCATTTTTCTAATTAAGGCATTAAGATCAATATCCAAAAGATGATTTTTTATTCCTCTTTTTAGGCAACTTTAGCATGGGTGCCAAAACTTATTCACACTACTGTAGATGTATTTGTCCAGTTTTCCGCGACTGGTGGACAGTGCAGTGGGCAGAGAGAGCGTCACCTCGAACATGTTGGTCATGGGGTGCGGGATGGGCAGCATCGCGTGCTCCTTGTGGAGGCCCCGGCCCTGGCAGGACGAGCACAGGTCGTAGTCCGGGCACACCGTGCACTTGAAGCGGGTCCCTGGCACCGGGCCCTCGCAGCCGTCACAGGTCACCCCAGGGTGCACCAGCGGGGGGTGGTGGGGGGGTGGGCCCGGGTGAGGGGGGGTAAAGTGGGCCGCTCCGTGAGGCCCGGGGAAGGAGAACCCAGGGAAGCCGTGAGGAGAGGAGTCGCGTCGATGCTCCTTTCTTTCTGAGAAGGGGAGAAACATGACAGGGCTGTGACTGACTGTACAAACTCCTCTTACACACGTTACATGTACTTACCATAGTAATAACAGCCAATTATGTGTAATTACATGTAACTAACCCTCATCCAAACCACTATACGTCACTTATGCTCTCTTGTTGTTGTTTTTCTGTCTATTTTTGAAGGTATTATGATATTCTGATCATTTAACATGTTATGCGTGTTTGAATAATGTAAACATCTATGGTGGAAACAAACTTCCTCTTGAGGACAAACAAAACATCTATTTCTCAAACCCTGACTATATAGTAATAGTAAAATAAAGTGTAACCATGAATTTCTATTCACATTCTTAGCTTTCAATGTCATCATCCAAAAAAAAAAAAAAAAAAAAAAAAAAAAAAAAAATTCCTGATTTTGGACAGTCATACAGGTTTAATGGCTCTACTTCCTGTTTGGGGTGTTCTAGTCACATGACCACAAAATAGCTCTGTGCATTCAGATCTGGCTTAGGTTTTATTACTGTTTTTTTTTTCACAGTTACACTACCTAGTCATTGTTTTTAATATGTTCAATGTTCATAATAGACGTGTAACTGTGTATTGTAGTAAAATAGCATAATAGAGTCGTAACATGAGATAAGCACATCACTGACACTTATAAGGTGAGGCGAGGCTTTGCTGACTACCTAAACATAGGGATGCACCGATATGAACATTTTGGCCGATACCGATAACCGATAATTCTTTATATTGGAAGCCGATAACCGATATATCGGCCAATAAACTTAAATCCAAATTTTATCTAATTTTGAGTGCCTGATTACAAAAACAAAAGTCTCACAATTAAATCCACGTCCCAAGCGCACAATTATAATGATGTTCTCAGTCGATATGACAGATTTGCGTTGCACATGTTGTCCCGAACCAGATTTTCATTTTTTTGAAGAGATTTCAATCATATTTCAAGAATTTCAAAAACATAAACAGTTCTCAACAAGTGTCTCAGCTGAAGGGAATAATACATTATTTATCGGCTTTAATATATCAGACACATTTTCTTACCAGGCCGATAACGAAAACATTAAAAAATTAACATGTATCGGCCGATACCGATATGCTGGCCGATATATCGTGCATCCCTACCTAAAAATGTTGTATTTAACATTTTATTTTGAAAAAGCATGAAGTACTGTCAGTCTTGTGTCTAAACTCGTGCGTGTCATAAGTTCTTGAAGTTGAGCAATATTTAAATGTGGGCCAATCTGCACTAAAAAATATGTGAATAGATATATAATATGCTCCAATAATGAGAAGTATGTTGTGAGTGAATGTGACTTACGCTTGATGAAGAGCCGGAAGGTGTCCTCCTTCACCAGAGCCAGCCCCATCATCAGCTCGTCATCAGAGGAGAAGGCGATCAGGTCACCGTCCTCATCTACACACACACACACACACACACTCATGTTTACATATCACGGACGGTCCATAACAATCATTTACCATTTAATAGCATTTATAATGCTCACAAAACTTTGAATTAGGGTGTAAATATACACAAAAAATATATATTTAACAGTACTATTTAAAAACAAAATTTGAAGAGATTAATTTTCCTAAAAGTTATAAGTTGACAGTATTGTCACTTTTTGAAATCTCATTTAGTTAAGTGAAAACATCATGTTTAGCTGTTAAATTGAGAGACGACAATAATTGTATGTTTACGATCACACATCTTTAAATCAATCTGACGTACCTTTATAGTGCATTTGAAAGGGCGCAGTCCCGAGACCGACAAAAACATCGAGCACTTTTCTGTTCAAATAGTCAAAACTTGTTGAGACATCCTGATCCACGGCGAAGCGACGGATCTCCTTGTTGCAGTCGTCCTTCCCGAGCAGGTAAGCTTTCACTGTCATCGACATTTTAGCGACAATATCGTGTTGAACCCGACCTTTAGACGTGTTGCGCAGCAGAAAATCCTCTTCTAGAGCGCGAGCGTCGGATACGAGTGCGTGAGCGTGCGTGTGAATGCGTTCTTTCCTCAGCCCGCAGTTCCGTATATAATCCTTCGACGTCGTATGCAGATGATGCGCGCTCAGCCAATCGTAGACGCGAGCGCACGTCTGGGGGCGTGGTCTCGCGCGTCTCAGTAACAGGTTCATGTTGACTGTGATCATGTGAGTCGCATTAGTAAACACAGTGGACTGACGAGGAATGACACGGCAATATGTGCGGGGAAATTCCCTCTTAATCACGGCCAAACAATACATCATGCTCATGAGATATGATACTTTTTACAAATGGTTATAACTAGGTCGTTTTGCCCCACACACACACACACTCTCTCTCTCCACAGCTGTGTGATAATATAGGCTAGCTAAACACGGGTTTTTCCAAGTTAATATACATGTGATTAAACATTGATATGCGTATTATTGTGATGTAATCCCAGATAGCACAAGTCTATTTGATGTGATGTTTACATCTGGAAGACGTATTTTTAAGAGTGTTTGCTAGGACGTTTCCTGTCAGATGTCAAATAGACGTTTAGAAGATGTCTTTCAGATGTAATGATTTAGAAAGCACAGTTTAGCCCGCACGTGAGACTGCTGTGTCAGTGTGATGTCAGCGTGAACTCTGTCCATCCATCATGGAGATTGTGTATTTCTGCTACAGTGGATTAAAGTGTGCAGTGTCATCATGAATGCCTCCATCAACTACGCTTGACACTTCATCAAGGCCTATTTAAAGATCAGTGGTGTTCTGAAATGAGGAGGGAAGTCCTCAATTTGTAAAATGTATATATAGGCTGCATATACAATCGCTTAGGACAGCTGTAGCTGGTTTTAAGTCTACCATGTATGGTTACGCTTTTATGCCTTATTATATCCCAACTGTCAATGGAGCAATTGTATTGAATTTTTACTTCCGGCACCGGCTGTGGTGCTCTATTAACACCATGCATACGTACCAATCCTATCCAATCACAAACAATCATAACCAATCACAGTGCAATGGATTGCTTCCTGTCACGTGACTTTCCCCTATTCATTCTCAATGGGCTATATCCCAGCTAACAGGGAACGTTCCCAGAACATTCACTAACGTTCTTTAAAAGTTGTGTAAATGTTAGGACAAAACGTTATTAAAATAATGTTTTCGGAACGTTCATATAACATTATTAACGTTCTTGTAACGTTGAGAGAAAACGTTCTTAGAACAACGTTCTTGGAACGTCTTTATCACGTTATTTGTATTTGATGAACGTTCTCATTACGTTGATAAAAAACGTTCTTAGAACAACGTTATCGGAATGTCTTTATCAGGTTATTTGTGTTTGATAAACGTTCTCATAACGTTCCAGCAACATTATGCTAACCTTAGGATAACGTTCTAACAACATTATGCTAACGTTCTGCAAACATTAAGACACCGTTCCAGCAACGTTAAGCAAACTGGACATTTCCACGTTTTTAGAACATTTTAAATTAACGTTCCCACAACCAAAATGGAACGTTAGAAAAACGTTCTCAGAACCTAACTTTGTTAGCTGGGATGCACGCATGAGTTCCGCATTTGATGCAAGAATGCTCTTCGGTTTCCGGTTGTGGAGATTAAAGCGGAGGAAAACGGGATTATGGCAGAGTCTTCAAAATGTACAGTCCTCCCGTCTTTGAAACGAAACGTACATACGTTTAGATGTAATTTTATAGTTATGTTTATTTAATATCATTTTAAAAAGAAGCATAAACACAATGAGGCGTGTCTGTTTTATCTGTTTTTGTGACTAACGTTTCTTTAGTATAACCGTGGAGTATAAAATTCAATATAAATTCTCGGTATTGCATTGGACTCTATGATCGGCGGAAGTTATCGAGCATCCTTAATCCTTCACCGGAAATAACGCCAGGCATAGAGCTCATTTTGTAGTAGCCTACTAATTATTTTCTCATCCATTACTGCCTCCTCGGGAGAGGAAACACCCCGAGATATATATATATATATATATATATATATATATTCAGAAAATCACTTCTACTGTCAATAAAAGTTGACACATTTTAAAATCTTATTGCGGACACTCACGGAAAGTAAAAAAAAAACAAATGCACGTAGGATATATACAAATATATAGCCTATGCTACGTGCATTTGTTTTGTTTTTTTTACTTTCAATGTACTGTGGTGAAAGAGTCGGTCAAACGCCACCTAAAATGAGTGTCCGCAGTAAGATTTTAAAATGTGTCAACTTTTATTGACAGTAGAAGTGATTTTCTGATGTTTAGCGGGTGTTAAACACGCCGTTATTCCACCTCAGTGTGTGTTCTCTAAACTAGTGCGACGCTGAAGTGTGTGAGAGAACAGAGGAATAACATCAGATCAAACCATACAACATTTATTTATTTCGATTAAATATCTAATCATTATGTGTCAATTTTCAATGTCAATTGTTTCACTATTTACATGTATATAAATGTTATAATATTCGAAGTTGATTGTGATTCTCCTCTATGCTGATTAACTAGCCTAGCATTACAGGCTCATCGCCAGCATTCATTCATCAACTATCGTAAAAAACTAGAATAAACATCAGCGCACACGAGCAATCCTTATTCTAATAGTCAATTTCATTTAAAAATGTAGTTAAACCCAAGAGGTATGAAATGTCAGAAAGAGAAAAACACTGTTGAAGAAGAAATAGATGAAGAAATATATTCACAGGAACATATCTTAGCAGACTCAATAATTAATACAGAGATCATCATAGTTTTAGTCAATTGGCAGCCATTAAACAGTGATAATCTTCGTGTGTGAGAGCTAAACGCTAACCGGAAGCTGCCGATGTGGACTCTCTAGCGGGCCGAAGTAGTGCAAGAAGTCGATAAATACACTACAATACTAGAAATGTAGTGATTTATACAATATAGATCGTGTCAAAGCAGCTTGACGGTGACAAACAAGAAAATAATGATCAATGATGTAAACTTCATCAAATATGAGACAATGACAAGCAAAGTGAAACAAGTCGGCTGTGTGTGTGTGTGTGGATTAAGACTGATGACGTTTCTTATTAATAATAATATAAACATACATCCATGTCTTTCAACTTTATCTTTGAAAGTTTGAATATGGCCTCAATTGCACATGTAACTTTCAGTGACTCGAGTTCGTGCTCCCGCCCTTACATAGCCTACATTATTCACAACATTCCCCACACACTCTTTATTCTAGAAAACTCCTTTTTTCTTTTTTTCTCTTTCTCGAAGACTCCCTTTTCTTATTCTCGAAGCCTCCAGTAGAGTCCGAGCGCAGGGCATGTCGCCACTCAGGCACGAGGAGGGCGTGGCTCGGTCACATGACTCTGACTCAGCGCGTCACATGATTCCCTGTGTTTACAGGCAACAGGAGCAGCTGATAATGAGATCATTCACATTCGCCCTCAGAGGTTCCAACAGCAACGCGAATAAGCAGAAACTGTCATTTCGAGACGACTGTGTGTTCTTCTGTTCTCAAATCTGCCTATATGTAGGATTTGCCTTCTGTTTAAATATTACGTAGGGCTGCCAACTCTCACGCATTCAGACTCAGAGACTCACGTAATTGACACTTTTCACACACTCACACACCACACATCCATTTCCTCACGCAGAGAAACATCTGACAAACCCGACTGACACCGACCGACAGACAGAGCAGAGCAGGTTTACTTTTGATATGAAAAAATCATGTCATGGCGTCACTGTATCATCTGTTAGAAGCTCCGGTTCCCATAGGAACCAGACCCGCGCTTAGGACAGCACATGCGCAGTGGCTCGTATAACCTGAAAAGCAAGGGAAATGCGTGTATAATGAACAATGATTTATATACATAATCTTCCTATTCCTAAACTTTCTGACAGTGTAATCTCTTTATGGGTTATGTGATGTAATTTTATATTAAATATATATAAAATATGACTGTATTAAAGTAAAAATTATTGACAAACAGGTATTTAGAATGGAATTATATAACAAGTACTGTGAGTGTTTTGTTCATTATATTTATTTTCATGTAAAAGCAACAGAACTCAAATTACATCCAGTTGATTAGCAACACGTCTTGCCTGCACTGCTTTCACTCATCCCCTCTTTGGTAGGCCTAATTTAATTCGTTATTTTTATTTTCACTGTGAATATAGCCCTTCTGTAAACAGTATTCGTAACTTTAACCCAAATTAAATTGAATGTTTGTGCTTTTGGAAATGGACCTCCATTATCGGCTTATTATTTGTGCTGATCTTGAGCACTCGGCGCCCTCTGCTGGCGACACCGTCACTGTTCGGGCTTTTTGCGGGCTGTTTTGAACATGCTGTAAAACAGGGATATTCCCGGTTACAGGACACCAAACACCGGGATTGTCTCGGGGAAAAAAAGGGTCTGGTGGTCATCCTGCAGTCCACGATGGAGTGTCACGTGACTAATGATCTTCCACACGAGTGTGCTCGCAAGATGGCGCTGTTGTCTAGGGGCAGGTCACGTTGATTTTGGAGAAAAAGCTTTTTTTTAATTTTTTTTTTTATTAGACATTAGACAAACATACAAACAATAACATAACATCCAAAAAAGACAAGAATCCAAGATTTTCCAAAGTTAGTTTAACATAATTAAACAAGAGACTAAACTAAAATATAAAGAAAAAAGGAAGAAAAAAGTTTTTTTAAAAAAAAAGAACAAATTAAAATAAAGGGGCTAAATTTAACTATTTGTAAATGTAATAACTATGAGAAGTTACAAACCAAGTCAGTATTGGAGAAAAAGGAGAAACATATAAATCTTCACTGTTCAATTATTTTCAATTCTTTAGCAAATACAATTGTGTCAGTGCATTTCTTATTATACTCAATATGCAACATAAAATCAGCTAAAAAAAAAAAAAAAAAATTAAACAAGGCTTAGACTTATTCAATTTATTTTGGAGAAAAAATAAAGTAGGCCCAGATAGCACACGTACGTCTGCAAGATGTCTGTTAAAGATCACTTCATCTGGAAAGCATATTAACATCTGAT